CACAACCAATCCTCCTCAGGGACATGTACAAAAACACAAAATTGTGAATATTCATTTTATTTTAATTGCTTAAATAGACTTTTTATTTAATTGGTTTAAATTCATTGTATATAAAATAATAAATTAGCTTAAGTATACATTTTATAAACCTTACTTACTTTAGGACACTAAAGACCCCAACTTCGCCTATAAACCAAAACGGTAAGATCTTTACTACTACTGCATCCTTATCGAACAGATAATACTCCCTACAACTGTACAACAACTTGCCCTTATGGAACAGATAATACTCCCTACAACTGCACAACAACTCTTATTTTATTTTGACTTGTACATTTACATTTATATTATTATGTTTTATTCGACACCTGTCTCTTGCTTTTTTTGCTTCTTATTTAGAATTTATTATTACCATTTATATATTTTTTTCTTTGTTCTTATATTGTATTATGATTCGTGAGCTACTGTGTCCAAATCATTTCCCTCGTGGATCAATAAAGTCTGAGCAAATGTGATAACAACAAACATGACTATGTGTCATCAGCAGTTAAATGTCTGGATGAGGGAACATAAATACATCATATTATAACAACAATAATAAAACAATATAAAAAAAGAAAAAGATGATAGTGAGGAGAGTAAAGTTTGTTCAGCTTGAGTCCATGGAGTCCAAAGGAATTTCACACATGTAGGAATACACTGTTTGAGCTTTAGGTGCATTCATGTATTTCAGAGAATTTATGTATAATTTAAGCTCATTTTTAGACTTTATTTTAGACTTTTATTAGCCCTGGAATAACGTTACGTCTGATGTTCACCAACTGACTCCCACTATGTTATCTGCTAAGATATAGGTGCACTTTTGAGTTCAGAGGAGGTATTTCTACACAATATTACACCGAATTTGATGTGGCAAGACAAGACATTTTTACAATAAAGTTGAATTAACCCATTTGTTGGTCGCTGTTGTAGCTCCTTGTTGTGTCATTATTCCGTTTTTACCCTCTGCTACAAACTTAAACATGCACAGTTTTGATCTCGATCGATGTTTCTTCTGCTCGATAAATAATGTCTGTGAAGTGATGATGTATTTTTGACAGTAAAGTCCCGTCTGTGAATTCGTAATCGTACTGATGAAAGAGTAATCTTAAATTTTCATGTCGTGATTGTAATTCTTGAGGTCGTAACTTTTCAATTCATATTCTGATGGATAAAATACACACAATATATTTTATGTACGACTGGACTCATTCAAGAGTTTACAAATATTTATTTTATACTCAACTACAGCCAAATATAGATTTCTATCCTATTCACACGAATATTTCTGAAAGTTTTCTTACTCCATATTCCTGGCATGTGTAGCTTTCATTGTCAGTTGTGCACAGGAGATGCAGCAAAAGTCCAGCCATATGGTTACGATCCTGGATGCAGCACGGACGATTCTGGATGTGGGAAATATCCATAGATCAGACCTGAGCATTGTCCAGCTCCCGGATCACACTCTGACCGGCCCGTTTAAGCTCATTTGGAATTACAAATAAATATATTTTATAACTTGACCTCATGTATGGACTAAAGCTGCATTGCTTTTATTTTAGAGGTGTTTTTTTTTTATTACATTTTGTTGGGCAGCCTCACTTTTTCATTGCTTAGTCAGAACATAAACTCTTCCCAGTCTGAGCAGCTCATTAAAACAATGAGATTTATTGCTTTTTATAAAGAAATACAATTCATATTATGCAAAATTTTGTTACTGTATTTTCCAGGCTATTAGACGCGCTCTTAAGCCTCCAACCACATCAAAAAACGACCATGCGCCACAATCCAGCGCGCCCTATACACGAATCCACTCGAGTGTCCCAGCACGACTTCAGTAACCTACAAATCCGCACCACCCACAGAACACACAAACACACACGGAGCAGACAGCGACCGCACAGTGAAAAACACCCACAGACACACTCATCACTCCACGCCGACGAGGAACGGAACAGAGGAACGAACCGAAAAAGCGAGCGCAATGTGCCACTTCTAGACACAACTGAACAACTGAGTCACTGCGAACACGCCGACAATCCATTGGTCCCAGACAGCACCCTCCCTACACGCCACAACTGAACAAAGCCCAGAGTCACCATGAACGCCACAAACAAACAAAACCACTCACCCATCACACTGTTGGGTTTCCTTTAAAGTCCGGTGTGGTTTATTTGTGAAAAAAGTTTGAAAATAGACCATTTAATGACAGTGCGCATTATAATCCAGAACACCTAATAGCCCGGAAAATACGGTAGTTTCAGGGGATAATACTTGCGGTGTTTAAGGTGTTTAATTAATTTTAATTTGTCCAATAATAATCTCTGGGTACGTCAGAGGAACTTTGGCCCAGTTTTCAAGGTGGTTGCTAGGTAACCGTTATGGAATTCCCTAGCATGAGGTCATGATTTCTGATCAAGACGTTTTTCAGGTTTCATTTTGACCAGAATTTCATTTGACATAAATATAATGATCTTAAATGTGTTTTAGTAAAATTATTATTACTATTATTATTATGTAAAATGAGTGTAACCTGTCATATTCACTTTTACAAACTTTACAAAAAGCGCCTAATAGCCCAGAAAATACAGTAAGTATTTTGGCCCTCCACAATATTTTCTGTTTCTCATTTGGCCCCATCTAAAAAAAATAACTGCCCACCCCTGCCGTAGACTGTATACAATGTGTGTATATATATATATATATATATATATTATATATATATATATATAATTCACACGGTGTCCCAAAATTTTGACATAATTTCTCAATTTTGACAATAACCTCAAATTTTCACAGAATGTATAAAGAGGCTTATATAATAGTAGATAGGACATGTTTCTGCTTTTAAAATACCTTGACAAAATTTTGGTGTGAATTAATTTTTTTATTATGTTAGAGCATCATACAAACTACATAGTGTTTTAAGAGCGCATAATATTAGAGCACCCACCCTATGACACCCACCACATAAACATTACACCCACTATGTAAACATTAGAATACAGTACTAGTGATAATATCAGTGCAGCAGCAAAGGGCCAGATCAACAAGTCACAACAAAAGAACCAAAAGAACTGGGACACAGTAAATGGTTTGGCCAGTGGCGGAGTTAACAGTGTGGGGGCCCTAGGTGAACTTGAGTTTGAGGCCCTCACTATAATGATCTGTATATTTGTCTCATGAACAATGGGGGAAAAACAGACAATAAATATTAATATAAATTAAATATTTATTGTCTCTTTTTTCCCCATTGTTCATGAGACATGCACATCTTTATTTGAATTATGGTGGATTGCAAACTTGTCTTATTAGTTTAGTCACCTACTAGAAAACCAGAGCTGAAAGTAGTTTCATTTTTTGCTAGTACAATTACATTTTCTGTTTACATCCATTACATATGATTATGATTATAATGCATCAGTTTTATATAGCGCTTTTTTGGACACTCAAAGACACTTTACAGAGCATTATTCATTATTCACATTATTACACTTCATACCCGGTGGTGGCAAGTTACTGCTGTAGCCACAGCTGCCCTGGGGCAGACTGACAGAAGCGAAGCTGCCAATCTGCACCATCAGCCCCTCCAACCACCACCATCACTCACACACACACCACTTTCATACTAGGCAAAAAGGGTGAAGTGCCTTGCCTAAGGACACAACAGTTTTTAAGACTGGCGCCCCCCCGTGGCACCTGATTTTCCCAGTGGTCTCCCATCCAAGTACTACCCAGGCCCGACCCTGCTTAACTTCTGAGAACTGACAGGATCAGGCTTTGACAAGCTGGTATGCTATGACTATGTTTAAATCAAGGTCAAGATGATTGCTCATGTGAAAGGGGGGATGCTTTGACAGTTAAAATAGATTTGACAGATTATTATTATTTTTTTAATCCACTCTCATTTAACCCCATAATGACTGAAAATCAAATTGCTCTGAGGCCTCGGCCATTAGAGATAATAGCAAGGACAATTGTTTGGGGGCCCCTCCAGGTTCAGAGGCTCTAAGCGGCCACCTACTTTTGCCTAATGGTAGTGCAGCCTCTGGTTCTGGAGTATGGACAGTGTTGGGAAGGTGACTTTTAAAATGTATTCCCCTACAGATTACAGATTACATACCCCAAAATGTAGTTTGTAACGTAATCCATTAAATAACTTAGAGTGAGTAATGTAATCTGAATACGTTGGATTACTTGATTTGCTGTAGAGAAGCAAAGACGAGGAAATCTTCACATAAGAAGTTTTTTCTGATAAAAGTCAATAAAAAAGCCCAGACTTTACTGAACCAAATTAAAAATATTGTTGATAGAAGACGAGGAGACGAGGAGACGTGGAGACGTGGAGACGTGGAGACGCAACATGGTTTAGACCTGGTTTTACTCCTAGTTTAGTCCTGGTTTACACTTGGTTTAGACTTGGTTTAGACCTGGTTTAGTCCTGGTTTTAGATCTGATTTTAGACCTGGTTTAGACCTGGTTTAGACATGGTTTAGACATGGTTTAGTGTCTGGTAATGAGTGGAATTATCAAAAAAAAAAAAAAAAAAAAAAGGGGGGGGGGATATAGCCTAAAATGTGAAAACAGGAAAATTCCACTGTGTAATCCATTTATTTCAACAAAGTAACTGTAATCCAATTACCACTCACTGAAACTGTAACTGTAACTGAATACAGTTACTCATAATTTGTACTCTGATTACGTAACTCTGGTACATGTAATCTGTTACTCCTCAACACTGAGTATGGATAATAAGGAGGGCACAAAAGCGACATGTTTTTACTTCACCCTTATCACTATTGTGTATAATGTGCACTGAGAACTCTAAAACCAGCAGGTGGCGGCAGATGCACCAGTTAGGACACCAGCTGCCATAACACTCAAGAGGAAGAAGAAGAAGAAGAATCCCTCGCCCGTTTGCTGTTTTTTGTCGTGAGATGTGGCAACCCGGCTACCGTCCACCCACTTCCGCCTCAGTCAGCTGTCAGAGAGAGGGAGAGAGAGAGGAGGAAACAAGGGGAAAAAAAACAACAACAATCAGCCACGGACCACGGCCAAGATGTCTAACCTTTCCGACAACTTCAGCGGCTACACCATGACCCAGCTCAACGAGATCTTAGAAGACGACGAAAAACTCACGAAAATGGTTCAGGAAATGGACGAGGTGCGTACCGAACAATGCGACGTTTACGGGACTCGGTTGCGGTCCGTAAATGTTAGCCCGATCCGTCCGTCGCTCCGCTTCTCCTCCTCCCATCCTTTTGTTTTGTTTGCCTAAAATACGTAACGGGAAATCGCCCTACACGCTCATTTCGGTGTGGTTTAACTTTTAAGGACGATTCGGCGTTGTTAAATGTGTTTACAGCCGCGAGATCCGACGTAGATGTCGGAACAAAGCGTCGGAAAGCCGAGTTAGCATTGTCTCAAGTTTGGACCCACGAGGATTGGCATTCATTTGCGGCATTGTCGTTTGTCTCCAGTGCCCTCTTCTTGACCAAAGGGCCTCGCTGCATTCACAAAACATTGCGTGTGAGGAAGTGGCGCACAATCGTGACTTTATTCGACCAAAAAATGACAATAAGTTAGTTGAAAATACGCTGATCTTTAGTCCCGACACTGTAAGCCTTTCTCCTTAAAACGAAACTTATTGTATGTTTTATGTTTTTTTTAGATGCTGATTACATCTTATTAAGTCACTGTTAAGATCTGTTTTTACTTTAAGAAGAAAAATTATAGATATTGGTAGGAATGTAACAATATCCAAATCTCTCGGTACGATATTATCACGATATGCATCTCACGGTACGATATTTTTATTGCGATATTTTGAACAGGCTGATATAATTGTAGATGAGACACTTTTTTGTTTTAAAAATACCTTGACAAGATTTTGGTGTGAATTTTTTTCCATCATAATCCCAAGAATTCAAGTCAAAAACGTATCTCATGTTATCTGCACTGAAATGAATCATGGGAGATGTAGTTCCCGGTGTTGAAAACCATGCATTTAAGCAAATAAACTTGTCATTTGATCTATTTTGACAGCCCACGATATTATTGAGAGACTTTTGACGATCACAATATTTTGGTTATTGTTACATCCCTAAACTTCTTAAATTGTCTATGATTCTTGTATAATCGTGAATACTCTAATACATGGCTTTAAAAGGGAATTGGAACGCTTTAAAGATGCATTATTGAGCTTTTCTGGTATAGGCTTGGCCACCTGCTTGTCTCCGTAAAGGCAGTAGTAATTGCTTGTCTGGAATATTGCACAATTTGGCACAAAACCTCACAACTGTATTATTACCAACCACAGACAGAGAGTGTCCCAGTTTTTGATTTTGAAAATCAGGTCACCCAAATGTAGCTTGTATTTGTACTGTTCAAATACATCAGAAAGACTTGAGTCCTGACATCTGGCGAGCGGGGATGCCTCCGCAGATGTGACCCGTAACTTGGCCTGGTTTGCCATGGAGATCGAGAATGGTATGATGTAGAAGATTCAAGGTAAAGCAATAACATTTTGATTGACACCAAAAAAAAAAAAAAAAAAAGTTCAAGCGTGTTTTGAAAATTTCTGGTGGATTCCCTTTGAAAGCTTTTCTCCATGGAGATGTTACTGCTTTGTCTGGAAAGTTTCAGAGTATGGCATTAAACCTTTCTATCTTCATGGAGACCACCAGACCAAGTTACAGGTCAGATCTGTGGAGAGGCGATCCCACTCACAGTCAGAATGTCTGGTTTTCTTGGTATTTTTAATGACATCTCCATAGAAAAGAGCAGGTGACGGACTCTTAACCCAAAAGTTACACAGTGCTCGTTTTAAAATTTATATAGACCTGGTTCTGTCTTAATTTAGAACGGATAATTGTGGCCCATAATTCTCAGAAAAGACTTCATATAATTGTGGCTTAAACCTGTTTTTGACCTAGTTCAGTTTCCCGATACCTATTGTGTACATTCATGCGCCAATGGGCCAGAGAAGCAAACTTCCTTTTTTTATTATTAACTAAACGTATGCTCTATTTATATAAAGCCATTTATGTAGTGAATAATTAACACACTGATAATTCATTGCTTTTCTGTTTCAAGAGGCTTTGGACTCTAGCCTTGTTAAATAACTTGAGCGTGGTGTAATTTACAGTATGTGTGGTCGGGGCGATGGCTGTACGCTGATAAGCAGCTGATAAAACCAAACATTTTTCCATTCAAAAGACATTATTTTCCTTCGACTAAACACTGCAGACACATATTTGGCATAGCGTTAAACGTGGAAGAGTTAGAGTTATATAATACTTAGACTTAGACAAACATTATTGATCCACAATGGAAATTATTCCACACATCACAATATAACACAATAAGAAATAGAAAAACATATAAATGGTACTAATAAATTCTAAAAAAATAAGTAGAAAAAACAGAGATGTCCAGTAGTGCATAATTATATAAATGTACAAGTTATCGTATTGTCAAAAGTAATATCATGGGCTGCCACAATATATTGGATTACAAGTTTCTTTGCTTAAATTCATTGTTTTAGTGCAGTAATGGCTAAATAACAAAAACAAAACAGAGAACTACATATCTCATGATTCCTTGCTCTGTTTTAGTCCAATCTACATCATGAACTAAATTGGATTTTCACAATTTTCTTCTTCCACAGAATTTCGTAATGAATATCGTACCGTGAGATGCAGATCGTGAATATATCGTATCAAGAGATTTGTATATCGTTACCTCCCTAGTAAAAGTAATATATACAAGTTATATACAAGAGGTTGTAGGGAAAAAATATAAAAAGTACATATGGCTCAATGACATGTTGAGTTTTCTGTCCAATTGCAATTTCTTCATTTAAAAAGGTTCAAACACCTTGACAAGACTTGATCCAAAGAGCTAAGGCTACGTTCAGACTGCAGGGCTTAATGCTCAGTTCGGATTTTTTGTGTGAAATTCGATGTTTTTGCGAGGTCGTTCACATTTCCAATTAAATGCGATTTGTATGTGATCCCCTGTGTGAACGTTAAACGGCCCAAAAGTGTCCCGCATGTGCACCTGGAGATTTTAAAGTTCCTCTCGTACCGGACACAGAACATGAACAACTTACTTGTTTTAAGGAGGAGATTGAGAAGGACGAGGTTTTTGGCCGTGGTGTTTTGTGGGACAGTCTGTTGAAAGGAACATGTGGATGTGGAGACGTTGCCAAGAGTGGTGGGATAGCGATGTGCTTCGCTTCAGTGACACGGAGTTCATTAACAATTTTCATATGACGAGAAGAACGTTTGTGTACATTTGTGGCTTGTTGATAACGTGTAGGTCGGATGAATGCACCTTGACCGTTCAGACTGAAGTCACATGTCAAAAGATCGGATATGTATCGTTTCAGGAGCACATATCCAAGTGTCCTGGGTCACATTTGAAAAAATCGGATCTGTGTCGTTCAGACTGTCATTAAAAGATCAGATACAGGAACATAGAGGCCAAAAAAATCGGATTTGGGTCACTTCCAGCGGCAGTGTGAACGTAGCCTTAAAAGTGCTTAGAACAGTTATTTCTTCATGTAGTCTGCAATGGAACGGCGCAAAGGATGATGGTCAATGTAGTTCCATCAATTTTTTTTAGCTATTGCTGAACCATAACTACTAATTAAGCGAAGAGAGTTGTAATTTGATATAGTGATGGCCCATGATATTATTGAGAGACTTGATGATATGATACCATGATATCTTGGTTATTGTTACATCCCTATAGGCAAAAGCTCTCAGAATTATGCCATATCGCTTTGTATCGGACCCAAACTGCACTCACAAGACTCCACCTGCACAGGAGCTCATTATTATTAAAAAGCAGAACGAGCAAACAGTGTGTTTACAGACAGGTGACTTTGTTTAATCTGCTTTTTTGCATATACCAAAAATACAAACTCTTCTGCTAAATCACCAACTTCTCTTTTCCACTGTTGGTCCATATAAATCTTTATAAATAATAATTTCATCGACTAACACACCATTGACGTCTGGTGCACTTTGTAACTTTTTGGTTGGGGGATATGTTATTGCTCTGCCTGGAATGTTCCACAGTGTGACATTAAACACTTCTACTTTACATTTATTCAATTACAGGTGGTTTTATAGCTCAAAAATACCTAGAAAAACAGAGCAGGGTTGCCTCTCCGCAGATCTGACCTGTAACTTAGTATGGCATTAAACCTTTCTATCTAAACGGAGACCAAACCAGACGGGGAAACATTCCAGACAAAGCAATAACATCTCAATAGAGAAAAGCATCTGACAGACCTTCCACCAGAAAAGTTACATAATGCACCAGGTTTTTATCATTCTACAATTTGGACTTAGTTTGGCAGTGTAATACTTCATGATAGATTTATACCAATTGAGAAGCAATTTGTGAAGAGAAGTTGAAAAGATGTTGAAAATTACAGGAATATGGGAAAATTCTGTCCAAAAGTTTGGTACAATTTACACATAAGCAACACTTTTCAGATAATTTAAACATTATTTCAACAAAATAAAGGTGTTTGATTACATTTTAATTTGTCCAGTAATAATCTCTGTGTACGTCAGAGGAATTTTGGCCCAGTTTTCAATGTGGTTGCTAGGTAACAATTATGGAATTCCCTAGCATGAGCTCATGATTTCTGATCAAGACATTTTTCAGGTTTCATTTGGACCAGAATTTCTTTTTACATAAATATAACAATCTTAAATGCATTTTAGTGAAATTATAACTATTATTATTAACTTTTAGAAACTTTCAACTTAGAAACTTTCAACTTTTCCAAAACTTCTGTAGGCCTGTAGGTCATGATAACAAATACCGTATTTTTAGTCACATCAGCCAAAAAATGTGTAATGAAGAAGAAAACAAACATAAGTCGCACTTTTTGGGGTAAATTGATTTTATAAAATCAGAGACCAGGAACTGACATTTCCTGCGGACTGTTAATGTCACATATGAACAGTTCTTTAGATAAACTATAACATAAACAACAGAACAAGTTTACCAAACTCTCCATCTCACTCCAAATCACTAAATCCATTAAATTTTTCATCCTCGGTGTCACTTCTGAACAACTTCTCTTCTGCGTTGCTGTCGTCAGACTCCGTGTCAGTTCCAGTTAGAAATATTCAGGCCTTT